CTTAACATTGTCTCTGTCACTTAGAACAGGAAAGACTAACGGGAAAGACTAACTAATGTTGACCTCCAATGAAAGCTGCATTCAAATTATTCCGAATGCCTACAGAAACCCATGATCTAAATTCTTAATTATTCGGTTCAAAGGAAGCGCTTTAGTATAACAAAGACAATATCATTTGGTATTAGATATTCATCTGGACTTCAGAAATAGATTTCGGGTAATGGCCGTGAAAAAATTTTTATTAAGATAAGAAACATTATTCTTTTAAGTGAACTCGTTTTCTGATCAATCAGTTGAAGGCAAAATATGTCCCAAGTGTACAAATAGTTGTGGCTGAAGAAACAACAAAGAGAATAATCTAGGTGAACAAAGAGAAGATGGAGGTGACGAAAATAATCATCCAGCTAACCAACAACAAACATCAATCACCATTAACGGGATAAACTTGAAAGGGGTCACTCATTCCCCTCACTTATCCGACTGGGAAGCATCGTTTCAACCACAGGCCATCGGAATGGATGAAGACATCAAAGACAGCCAGAATCAAAAGGGCGAGATTCACCCTCATCCATCTGAAACCAGTCCAGAAATCTTCTACTGTCACTCTGCATTATAAACAATAAGATTCGGATTTTCAACACCAATGTCAAGTCACTCAGTGCTTGTATATGGGTCAGAAACTTGTCTTCTGCATCACGAAACGTAATTTCAAAAGCCGGTTGCAGAATATTATCAACAGCCGCCCACTTTACTAGCTCCACATTGAACATCAGATCACCGGTCAGAAAGAAATGACAACAGGAATCTATGGGAACAGACTAACAAGCGAGAACCTGTCGTTCAAGAAATATGTAGGAGAGAGTGGAGGTGAATTGGGCACATGCTGAGTAGACCGTCGAATGACATCTCGCACAATGCAGACCATCGCTGGAGTAGAATCCGAATGGGAAATGACGAGTGTTTCATCAATGCGGGGGTGACACGGAGATGTTTTCAGGAGGAGACTAGAGATTGTGGCACATCGTGAACCCAGTCGAAGAGGATACCAGAATATAGAACAAAGTGGAGATGCAGAACAGGTCAATTATGAGGACAAATACTCGCCGAAGACATTGGCTAGTGATCGCGCTATGTCGTGAATTGGCAGAAGTTGGAATTCATAGGCCGTTAGATCAGGTCCAAATGTTTGAATTATCTACGAGCTAACCTTGTAATCAGAAGGTCCTGGATTCGAACCCCAGTGGGTGTGTACTGCTGAAGAGTCCCAAACTAGGCTTACGAGTCAGCTGTCCAGTACCTTCTGCAGGTTTTCCAGTTGTTCTTAAACCAATGTCAGCTTATGATTAAATCCTGTAACCGAAGTGGAGGTGTGTTGTTGAAGCTGTATCTTCCACTCGGAACCCAATAATAATAAACATAAAAAGTTTACCTTTCTATTTACCTGAAATGCTAATGATGACCAAATAATAAACAAATATTCACTAACTTGCCAACAAATTGAAGTTTACACATATGTACGATGATCTATATTTCTTTTTACATAAACAAAAACAAAAATAAGCAACCTACATAAATAAACGGAACTGTAAAGTTAATATCCGTTCTGCTCATCATGAACTTTATGTCATCAGCTCTATACTGTATTTGTGTTTAGAAAACGTTTCTATGAATTTTACTACTACTAATACTACATAAAACACAACAGCTTGGATTTCTGAGATTATATCAATACTTGACCAGTGTTTTTAGTTGATTTTTCATTCATCAACATTGTAAAATTTGACAAATAGAAAGTAAAAACAAAAGAGCTAATTATAAATTCCAGTTGACCGTAAGCCATATAATTACTACTACTACTACTAGGGCGTCATTCAACGTTTTGTATTTTGTATAAACAGGCTAGCAACCTATTCACTACGGTCTATTATTATTATTATTTACAATTAATAAAGTCATTTTTATTTTCTTTTGGTGATTTATTATCATTTTTAACAGAGAACAGATAAATCAAAAGCAGATGATATGTTTATTGAATGAATATTATATTATCATAGAGAAATGAGTGTTTTACACGGATGGAGTTTAATCCTACTGCAATGAATTGACTCCAGTCAGCAGAACCTTAGTTAGGCTAACTTATGCATAGTTAATTGTTTTAATTCGTCGGCCACTTTAAACGTGTAGGAAGTATTTTTGTTTTGTTCAAGAAAAGAATTCGTTCTCTAGTTCATATTAAATATATTCCTTATATTGTTCCAAGCATTTCAAAAAAAAATTCATGAGGAAAGTATATCTTTCACCATACTTTAAAAAACAGGGATATCTTGGACCGATGTGAGGAATCTAGAAGATCTGGATTTATGTTTGATATCACACAAAATCGAAGACTTACAAGCGAAAACCGACAAACTGGTCGAAGAAGCAGCAAAGACAGGACTCCATGTGAACACAGACAAGACGGAGATTATGAAAATAACCAACCAACAACAACAACAGCAACATCCAGTGCCAATCATCATCAACGGGAGGGATTTGAAAGAGGTCACTTCTTTCACTTATCTAGGGAGCATTGTCTCAACTACAGGAGGAACGGACTAGGATGTCAAATCGAGAATCGGGAAGGCGAGAAACACATTCATCAACCTGAAACCAATCTGGAAATCTTCGTCACTCAACTCAGCATCAACAACAAAATTCGGATTTTCAATACAAACGTCAAGTCAGTCAGTTCTTCTATACGGATCAGAAACTTGGCGGGTCACCAAGAATATTTCCAACAGGTTGCAGACCTTTATCAACAACTGTCTTCGCTCTATACTCAAGATCAGATGGCCGGAAAGAATCACCAACAAAAAACTATGGGGACGAACGAAACAAGAATCAATTGCTCAACAAATATGCAGGAGAAAGTGGAGATGGATTGGACACTCGCTGAGGAGGCCGTTGGGTGACATCGCGCGTCAGGCTATAGCTCGATTGGAACCTGAAAGGGAAGCGGTGAGTGGGAGGTCCAAGGGTGACATGGAGGAGATCGTGTGAAGAAGAGTTGAAACAGTGTGGACTAACATGGATGCAGGTGAAAAATACAGCAGAAGACAGAAGCAAGTGGAGACGTGCAGTTGAAGCCCTATGTTCCACTAGGAACCTAAGGGAACAATAATAATAATACTTTAAAAGAAAGGAACATGAGGAACAAATTTGTTAGGGAATCAGTTTAGTAGAACTGAACTGTTTATCTGTACGTGGGAAGTGTTGCTTTGACTATCTTATCCGTATAACTGACGTCACTAATTCAGACAAAATGAGTATTCATCCAGTAATTACTGCTGGCATTTAACTAATGAGTTCCTTTCGTCGGTCCCTGATGTTTAAGTTCTAGAACCTTTGGATAATGGAAAGCAGTTGCATCTGTTCCAATTCACTAGTTAGTTGTACCAAAAATTCCTGACACGAAGAAGGTCAGATGAAGTGAAAAAGCAACTTTTCGACTAAACTTAGCCACAAGGCGCAAATAATTGTATCTGAAATAAATGCTGTGAAAATTTCACTAATAGTAAAACTACATTTCAAGCTTTAAGTAAATAAGTTTTATTCTTGTAGTCTCACATCACTATTCAAGGAACCATTGGAATCTGGTTGTAAGCCCTCGATATACCACACTTCATTTTCAACCCTGAGGAGATGAAAGAGCAATAAAGAACACCTTCAATTCAGTCATCAGGAATAAGTCGGAGATGCTAAGCAACATCAGTAAAACTTATTTGTAGGAATGCTGGAATTTTCTGAAGTCGTCGTGGATAGAAGGCTGTATAGACAAGTTAAACAGAAAGAAGCGGTAGGACAGTGAGTGCTTCACTACAACGATAAAGTTACTGAGAGCCGGAAAACCAGCAGTACCGAATGGAATTCCCCATAGGCGCTGAAAAAGGGTCAATAAACCTCAGCATGCGTGCTGACGCCACTACTGAAGAAGATGTAGAAGGAAAAAAAGTTAGTTATAGACTGGAAAAAACTGTCTTGTCAAACTGCATAAAGAGTGTAAATTAAGGGCATGCAAGAACTTGTTCGATATTTTTCTGTAGAATTGTGTGTAAGGCCTCATCCGCAGCAGGCTACATTCAGCAGATCAATTAATGAGTCAACCAAATGGCAACACCGTGCATTACCATACAAGTGACCCTAGAATAGCAGTCACCTATGCACCTCAAATTTATCGTCTTTAACAAAGTAGACCACGAATTAAGTTGGTAACTGCCACAACACTACGGAGTACCTCAAGTATTCGAAAATCTGACCAGGCAACTATATCATGATTTCGCATTCCAAGCAAGTCACAAAGAAAAGTTCACCGAGGACTTTTCGCACAAAATCTAAGATATACAAGCAAGACGAAGAAGAAGGTTGAGAATTCAACGAAGATGGAACTTTGCATAAAAGCAGAGAAGACAGAGGTGATGATGATAACCTACTGACATAAAACAATCACTACAATTTAGATGTGAATCTGAAAGAAATCGTCCTTGTTAAAATGTGAGCAGCAACATCCTAACTTCAAACAGCACGGGTGAGTAGTTCAGAGCCAGTAAAGTCTGAGAAAACAAGGCAGGCGTTGATTACTCTGAATAGGTGAGAGGATCTACAAAACTCAGCACAAAGAATACGATCCGAATTCCTAACACTATTATCAATTCACTGCTTCGATGTCCTTCAAATACTTGACACATGCGTCATAAATATCCTGTTCATGTGAAAACGTTTACTTACTGTCAAGTAGTAGTTATGAAAAGAGTTTAAACTTACTGCGTACTGCTTTTAAGTTTTAAATTCAATAACAGGATGAAATGTTCAATATCTCTTCAAAACTAATTGTAAAATTCAAAACATTCTGCTATATATGTTCGCCTATATATGACAATATAGAATTAATCGGTTGTGTAAAATGACTGAGAAAATAACACTTTTTTAAGGCATACGGAGATAAGATTAATTAGCCAACAAACCTGGTCATTCTGAATATCATTATCGATACTGGCCGAGAGCTGGAAATTATTCTGCTGAATCCAGTATGAAAGCACCGGTTTAAACCATGTATACCAATCGAAATTCCTTGATTTCTTTTGTTCCCTATGCAAAGCAGATAACAAAACCAAACAACAAAATATTAAGCAACACAAATAAACAACTGTTGTTTATGTTTACTTAACGGAATACCGCTTTTCACCCAATAATAATAATAATAATACGCCATGGTTGAGCAAAGTCACAGTCATGTGTTGATTAAAAGTAGTAAGTACAGGAAGTTTCCTTATAAAAACATATGCTAGAATAAATTCTGTTAAGATTATTAGTCACTCTTTTAATTTCTATTGTCATCTCCTACCAAATATATTTAGCTACACCTAGTTTACAAAATGAAAATAATGAAAGCAGAATAGTAACTGCCTACTGAAATGTATTAACTCTGTAGACTTAGTTTGTGTCTCCAAACTCACAAGCACTAATGACTTGAATGTTAGTAAAGTTGACCAGCAAGGCTAAATGTCAAAAGATTTATTATACATCCACCAGTTCACTAGTCTCCAGTTACTCAACATGCCAATCTTGTAGACAAATCTTTACAGAGGAAAGATGGCAATGATTATTCTAATACTGACTTAGTTATCTTTGTAGATGTAATTTACTAGAGTCAAATAACAGCCCTACACGTATAGGAAATTGATTTTTCACTTTATAGTCGATTTTTAATGTGATTAAGTGCAACCACATTGATTGGAGGATTTCATCATGAGCTGACATGAATTGGCAGAAGTTAGAATTCATGGACTGACTATTGGATTGCGTCCCAGTGGCTTAATGGTCTACGAGCTCGCCTTGCAACCAGAACGTCTTAGGTTCAAATCCCTGTGGTGAGTGCATACTTCTGAAGAGTCTCGAACTAGGACGAAACAGCTGTCCAGTACTCCCATGTTTTCCAATGGTTCTCTAACTCATGTCAGCTCATGATGAAATCCTCCAACCAGTCAAACTAAATCCCTACATAAACCAATACTTGAAACAAAATTGCCTTTGGTACACAATTTCCAACAGCCGCCTAGGTGGTTATCAATGATAAAGACTAATGTGAAATCAAGTAGATCATCTTAAAACACTTCATTAAGCTACAGGTATTATAGTTTGCTTCAGTTAAATATTTACTTAAACCACTTTACTTCATCAATTTTATTTAAAAAATAATCATTTATTTATACATTTCAGTGTTATTTATTTGTGTTAAATACAGTTTTACAGAAAACAGGCGCATAATATCAGCTTTTGTAGGCGAATATTTCTTCTCTCCTTTTCTATAAGATGAAATTCAGTTAATTTCCAGCTCAAAAATATTTAAGTAGTATAGCAATGAAGGTGTAAACATGTATTTAAATTTACTAAAGAAATACAACAAAAATTCATTGATCAGCAGCTTGCGCCTGATATAGGGAAAAGTACACATAATCGTTACTATGGTGATGATGATAGGTGAATACACACTAAAAATCACGTTCCTTTTGCATAATCTGTTCAAGTCAATCAAAGACACGGATCACATGCATTTTACTATATAATGACCTAAACAGTTAGACTCTTTATTATTTGGGCTCGTCTTCAGTGCTTACCATAGTGATGATAATCTTTAGATTAATGGAACTGGATATTTTTGTGTTTTATTTTATGCTTTTATGAGGAAAAGGTCAAGTAACTTGGCAAAATATTGAAATCTCATTGACTAATCTAAGGAATCAAGTTTTTCTCAGTATGCACTCAGATTGGTAAGGGAACTAGTCACAGTATAATACCGCTTTTTGTATTCCGAGTTATTTGTGTGCAAGCACTGCCTTTCATACACATTCACTCTGACAAGCTGTTTACAGGAGCGACATGTGTTATACTTAATGTCCGCTGGCCTTTGAGTTTAACAACATTTTGATCTGACTATCGAGATAAGCTGGTTGAACTGAGTTATCACCTTTGAGTTGGTGACGCTCAGAGCATTCAGGATATCAGGAAGTGCAGTAAACTTATTATTTGGGGGATTTTTGAAAATCCTGGAAATTTCCAAGTGACTTATTTACAATTCTATATTATTAAATATCTGATGTGGTCTTTGATTCAGTGAGTTAAACGATTGTTCTCAGAAACTCATCAACAACTTTCAGTCGCTGAAAACGTTCTGCCCTTTTGAGATTCACATAATAAATAAAGCACATTATGGACAAACAAACAAAAATGTGCTGATCACTTCAAAGGAATCTTGAATTAATCATCACTTGCACCTCATCCAGAAATACTGACAGCAGCCTCAGAACTGCTAATGGACACCAATCCTTCAACAAGAGCAGAAGTCGTCAATGCAGTTAGGCTACTGAGGGCCGGAATGAATTCCTTCGGAAGCACTGGAAATGGATCCAGAAACAGCGGCGGATATGCCACTATTGCAAAAGGTTTGGGAGGAAAGGAAGGTACCAACTGATTGGAACAATGAATACCTTGTGAAGCCACCAGAAAAGGGTGACTTACACCTCTGCGAGAACTGGAGCGGAATAATGCTCTTGTCCACACCAAGAAAAATACTGAGTCCCATCATCCTGGGAAGAATGAAGGATGCACTGGATGCAAAACTCCGCCTCCCATATGGAACAAGCTGGATTAAGGAAACGCAAATCGTGTGCCGATCAAATTGCAATTTTTACGCATTATCATTGAACAAAGTATAGAATGGCAGTCAAACCTCTCTCTACCTCAACTTCTTTGACTTAGAAAAGGCCTTGGATATCGTTGACCGAGAAGTAATCTGGGAACAACTTTAACACTATGGCGTGGCCAAAATCTTCATCAATCTAATGCAATAGCTACATGACAATTCTATTTGTCAGGTGGCCCAAAATGGAAAATTCGGCAAGGCCTTTAAAGTGAAGACATCGGTTAGATACAGCTACAAACTATAATGAACGGCATTCTCAATTAAGGTAGACTGAGTTACGCGGAAGACTGTGGCGAGTGAGAAGACAAGAATACGCTGGACCGATAAGAACACTCTAGGAGACCTACACTTTTGCGGATGATTTGTGTCTAATTCCACACAAACTTGGAAACTTGCAGGCAAAAGCCAATAAACTGGCTGAAGAGCCTGGCTGGCAGCGATAACACGACTCTTTCTATGTGAACATAGAGAAGATGGAGGTGATGGAGATGCCAAATCAATCAACAGCAACAGCAACGACAACGACCCGCACCAATCACCTTCAACGGCAGAGATTTAACTGAGGTTACCTCATCCACTTATCCGGCTAGGTAGCAGTGTTTCAACCACAGGTAGTCGGAACGGGTGAAGATGTCAAAACAGGCCGGTATCTGAAAGGCGAGATATGCTTTCATCAACATGAAGCCAGTTTGGAAATCTTCTAGAGTCAGTCGGTATAAAGAAGATGATTGGTATTTTCAACACAAATATGAAGTCAGTTCTTCTATATGGGCCCGAAGAGGTCGCAGACGAGATTATGTGAGAAAGAGATGAGAGCCTATGGGCAGTTGTTGGGTCAGCCTAAGAGGACTATAGAAAATACGACAAAGTGGAGGCGTGCTGTTCCCTTGGGAACCCAAGGGAATAATAATAATGGAACAATTTAGTTTAGTTATCTTCATCGCTATTTTTACTTTCAATATGTCCCTTTAACTTGACCTATGTCTATTTTCTCACCCCCTAGCTGTTTGTTATATATATGTTGAGATTTTGTAAATTCCGGTTTAATAATACTTTGATAAAGCTATTAGCATTAAATAGCGAAACGTCAGCAAAAACAATATCGTTTTGTTTTTCACTCATTGGGAAATACAAAAACCTTTATTATAATGAATATCATATACCCAATGCCCAAATTTTTTCAAACCGTTAAAATTGAACTTGGTTTGGACATACATAATGGAACAATAGTCCGAAATTTTTGTTACCCCATACCAGTTAGAGTACGTGCTTGTGGAGACACTTGGTCTTTGCTGGCTAAATGCATATATAAAGTCACCAGTGTCAAATGCCATGTACTGAACTATTTTCCTACTGCCAACGATTCCACTCTCCAGTGTCTTGCATTTATGTATTGATACCATTGGAAGATCTCATAAATTATGCTTGACATTATCACTGGTGCCTCCATGATAGGAAGCTCTCCGGCGACGAACATGGTTTGAGTACGATTCTCCGTGCATGCATTCCTAAATCCTGCCTAGCTGCTAGCCAGTAGTAATTCGGGGAAAAAAGCGAGGCTGGGAATCAGGGTGGCAATCCCATCCCGTGAAAACAACATCACCAGTACTGAAATTTGAAAGTTCAAAGCCCTTTTTTCCACTAAAAACCCAAAAAAAACGTAGAGAAAAGTTCACCCATCCATGTCATTGATATTCAGGTGTCATACAAGTCACGAAAAAGAATAAAATGATAATATCCTGTCATTCTTACTTCATTTCCGTTGTAATATCCAACATGTTTTCGAATTTTTTAAGTAGTAAGTAAAGAACAAACAACATTTTCAAATCCATTGTCTTTCCTGAAGATTGCTTCCTATTGGATAAAGTGCATTTTGTTCCGGATTCTTGACTGGTGACTGGCTGTGTGAGATACTGTAGAACATCTGTCCTTATGTAATCTTGATGTAACTAAAAAAAATTATTGAGAATTTAAATAGCACATTTTGAGTATTTTATTTTTAATTATGATCTTTGAATTAAGTATGCATAATCTCTGAATACTAAAATCTCAGGTAGACGAAGTCTGGTGACAACTAACACCGCATCATGCAGGACACTACAGCAGATTTCTTCTGTTGAAAAAACAGGTCCTAATGTAAAATTGCGTATCTAATCTACTTGTAGCCAATTTAGAATGTGTCCTACAACAGTAACCTGCAGACATCGATGTGTCCTCTCTGTGTAAGTGTGACCACACACACTTATGTAATTTAGTAAACACAGTGGGATGTCACAATACACATGTATGTCGAGGTCAGACATACACAGGGAGGACCTGTCGGTTTCTTCAGGTCAGGGCTACAGAAAAAATTCCAAAGTAGCTGCGGGAAAAAATAAAATCTTCGGATGCAATTAACCCTGAGAATGGATACCCAAGACTGATTTCAGAAGTACGTTTATACCCATATATGAAACAGGTTTGGGACAGATACCTTAATTCAATCAAGCCCTGGCCATGAAAAGGCTAAAACCTGTTCGTTTTCAAAAGTTATTTCTTATTACTCTGAACTTGCTTTGATAATGCAATTTTAGAACCGTGGTTAAACTTAATAATACATTCACCCCCCCTTTACTTCCTACCTCCTATTCTAACGTCGTTTCCATACCTCTTGACCTGTAAACAAATTCACTTATATTGTAATCCTTTATGCTCTTTTGCTTTCTATATATATACGAGAAGTACGCGTGTAATCGGAATGTCGGAAATCAATTACGCTAATACACATCACGTTCCACTTGAATTACCTCTCCTCATCACTTCATTTTTATTTACATTAAGTGTTTATACTAGCTAATTCTAAATAATAAAGCGACTCATACTTTATGCAGATTCCTCAAACTTTTGGAGTAAATCCTACATTGGTGTATTTACCAGATAACGTTTTGAACAGAATATATATATATATCCAATAAGCGAAATCATGCAGAATTACATATTATCACAGTATCCAAATTGTACGCATATATTATTGAAATGAAATGATATTTCACTGTGTATGGAGTCTAGTCCCAAGTATTATAATTTACAGAGCATTAGCCTTCGGACAGCTGACGAATTATGACGAATACACTGAACAAGTATGCATAAATAATTTGATCAATAATTTTCGATGATTCATTATCAACAAATTACCGAACATAACTGAACTTAAAATAAATGAAATAAAAATGTGTTTATTCTACTGAACTCACTGAATGCGCATAGAATTTATACATATATGTGAAGGCGTTGAGATCGAGGTGTCTACAAAGAGGAATAAAACAATCAACACATTTAAGCGGACAACACTGTTGGCGGTTAGATCTCATCAAGCTTAACTCTAATACACATAACTTTACAAATAAATATTCAAATTCTAAATTCTACCAATTCGTAGGCCATTGTATCTGAACCCAGTGGCTTAATGGTCTACCAGCTCACCTTTTAACCAGAACATCCTGGATTCAAACCCCGCTGGATGTCTACTACTACTACTGAAGGGTCCCAAACTGGGACGAAACAGCTGTCCAGTACTCCCATGTTTTCCAATGGTTCTGTAACTAATGTCAGATCATGATGAAATCCTCCAACCAATCGAACCAAATATCCCTACAAAACCAAATACTTGAAAATATTCAAGCGTAAACCAGACACGGTGTTTCGCCAATAGGATAATAAGACTGTGCATACAAATGGTGCAATTAGTCATAATAATAATAATAATAATAATGGTTCTATCAAGAACAAGGATGAAAAAAGTGAGGCGATTTGCGAATGCTGATGAAAAACAGCATGATTAGACAAACAAAGTTCAGGTAGAAGTAATCGATAAAGGTTAAGTGAAACAAATGGACCGATTAAGTAATGCTAGGCTGTACGGGAAGAGAATAAACTGCGTTTTAATGAAGATGTCATAAGACGGAGGGATGATAAGAGATGGGTTGAAAATATCAGTAAGGGGTGGTGGAGAAGTCATCAGTTGGCTATGGCTGACTAGTCCAAGGGAGGGCTAATTGCTGTTCGAACATCTTCTGAATGCGACAAATTACCTTGAAAGTCTTCGTTTTCTCCCCAACATAACCACTGTCAACTAAATGCGACAAAACGGAGCTACGAACTGAACACTGTAAAGTTCTAAATGCTGTTGAAAGATGACAAATTAGTCTGTCCAACATTTATTCATGTAAATGACACTGATAAACATAACCTGTTATTCGTTACGAAAAAGATTATTGCCTAAAATCAATTCTGTGAACAAGAACTTATTAAAAAGGTGTTTTTTTTAAAACAAAAAGTAGAACTTGAAAATATCAGGTTCTGATAGTGTAAATGACTAGAATCTCACCATTCGAAAACATAAATCAATATTTTTGAATTTATCTAAATAACTGCGTTGTGTTTATCATTTCTTCTCCTCATTTATTTCTAGGCTGCACTAAACAAATAATTCCAAAAACTAACTACACGGTTAACTGACTGACGATTTTTGTCAAAGGCTAACTGATCATAACAGTCTATCGTATATATGGCACCAGGTAGGTGGAGATCAGCAGATAGCTATTTTCAGCCAAGTCTGTGACTTACAGTCAATAATGCTTACAAGGACTTTTGAAATGATTATCAGCAATAATTTGTGTTCAAAACGTCATCCATTTATTAATATTGAATCACTGTGTCATTTCAAATGAACTTAACTAATATGGAATTACAGTCTACTACATTGCCCAAGTTCTACACTTAGATTAATTATTCATACACATTAGGATGAAGGATCTAAACCAAAGTGGTAAGTAGTTACTGATTCCGAACTAAATCAACTTGATAACTGCCGAGACTTGGCAGCAAAATTTTTGGCACACCACGCATTTTTTAAAGGGCACTACAGGTTTACGTAACCATTTACCAGTATTATTTTTAATGACCATTCCTTTTTACGAGTTGATCACGGACTGATATCAGTTAGAGAACCATTGAAAACCAGGGAGTACTGGACAGCTGCTGTTTCATCCCAGTTGGGAATCATCGGCAGTACGCACTCACCATAGGTGCTCGAACCCAGGACCTTCCGGTTACAAGGCAAGTTCGCATACCATTCAGCCACTGGGACCCGATTCAATGGCTCATGAATTCTAATTTCTACCAATTCGTGATTTTAGTGTGACCCCAACCATTGTCGTTGGTGGGACATCCATCCACACACGTGACATTTAATTGGACCTCACTGGTCACGACTTCTCACTAGAACTCCAGGAAGCTCCAACCTGTAGCAAGTCACTAGCGAGCATCAGAAAATGATCATTCCTGCCATCCGAGCTCACAGAAAATGTGACTAACTTTATCATACATCTGATTTCAAACAATGATGTGACATTATTCGATTAAAAACGGGCTCAATATTACATTTCCTTTCGATTAAAATAAAATCACAATAAATTAACAAAATATACTGTTCTTACGTTTTGATGATTGGCAAATAAACTTCCCTACATTGTTGTAAATCTTTGATCATTAACTTCATTAACATTATCAATTGTGTTATTTCATGAGGTTCCAATTCTAATTTCTATAAAAAATAGTAGAAATACTTTGATAATCAAAATATCAAAGGAATATGGATATCGAAGGTGAACTGAAGTAACCAAACCAATAGGCAATAGTTTTGCAATAACTGTTAAGATTATGTGGAATGATATGAGCTATCAAGTATTATTATTATTCTCCTTTCCCACGACAAACTCGAGTGCAGACTATCAGAGTGATAAGCGTATATTAACCACACGTAGTTTTATTACTTCATATTTTACAGAAATCCCTACGTCTGTCAAATCTAATATCGATAATATAGTTAAATTAACATGTCAAACGTAGGTGAGTAGTCAGACTCTCTGTAAGATCCTTAAACTTATATACAAAAGGAATCACATTTTAACTAAATTAACCATGCCTATGTGGGCATAAATCTGACTTTCACTATTGGCTAACTATGAAACAAATATAACGGACTGTTATAGACAAGAGGGAGGGGAAACAAAACATACAAAGCAAATTATGAGGCCACGTTAATACATTCATATGATTAAAAGCAGTAAACTGTGATGAAAGCGTCATCCAGTTAATAATAAAATATCACTATGCGTTACACTGGCGTCGGTGGCATAGCGGTTAGGACGCTCGCCGAGCAGGCACATGGTCCGAGGTTCGATTCCCGGCCGACGCACTCCCTTACCTCGCTAAGCCAGAAATAATGCTAGCGAAGAGGAAAGGTTGGGCATAAGGCTAGCAACCCTGTCCTGTAAAATAAGTACTGCTACAGAAACTTCAAGCCACTAGCTTGAAGCCCTATGTTCCACTGGGAACGTGAAGGAAAAAAATGCGTTATATCAAATGAACTAATCTAAGATGTTTAATTCTGACAACTAGGGCAGCTCTTTGAGCCTTTGATTATATCAGCATTAATTTCTGCACACCAAGATATCGATGATGCAAATGCCTTCATCTATACAACTACCAGATAAGTAGAGTGATGGTCACAAAAAACAGCAGACGTTAATGTCGGATGAATAACAGCTCTGTCGTTCAAATGTAAGAATTCTTTAGTATTATAATGTAATGTCACATTTTTATTTACAGAATGCGAAAAATTGTCGATGGAAATTGATATTTCAACGTTTTTTGTTACAAGCAGGATTGTTTTACACTGTTTACGTGTATTATTCGCAGTTTGAATCCCGTCAACAGATAAGGGTGGAACTAAAAAACCAATAATGTCATTAGGAGAACATTCAAACGATTAACAACGTGGTAAGAAATCCCCATCAGGCATATCTCTAATTTCTGTTTATAATGAATAAAGAAATTTGCATATAAGAAGCACATGGACGACAGGACAATATCTCTAATTCATTTTTTTTCAGTATTTTATATTTGTATGAACTCATTTCTAAGTTTTAGTAACACTTTGAAGATTACTGAGATTATTTTATTTATGAATAATAATTATAAAAACGCATATTTAGTTATACTATCTACTTATAGGAGAACTTACGTCATTTCTTCCCATAGCTGCAATCTTGTGATTTTCATAACGTGTGAGAACGAATTCCTAGAGGTAATTAAAATTCAGGTCAGTTATTGTTAAGTAACTCAGGTTTGTAAGAAGACACAACACAGCCTGCGACAAAGACATGCATTATATATTTTATGTGGCATATATATGTAAGAGGATTTCGTTTGAAGATATTTTACAGTTTGTCTTGTAGTATCATTCAACCATTTTGTTTTGTATTATTAACGTGCTTTTTATGGAAATTATATCCCATGCTTGAATATATTCCTACATTGAAACATGTGCTTCTAAGCAAGTAGTGGTCTCAATTTTCATAATTTAAAGGCCTTGTCAAGATTTCCCTTATTTTTACCAGCACCTTATCTCAAACCAAACGCTGTTAAGTAAACCACTGAAACGCTAGAAGACCTACATACTCTAAGGTAAGATAATTTTGACAGGACTTAGTTACATCTTTTCCTCTCATTATGCAAATCAGTTGAATAGTATCGAAAACCGTCGGATTTCCGACAAGTGCTTATCTCCCATAAATAGTGATACATGCTACACGTGGTCGAACAATGACTACTGTAAAATTTCACTTGGGTGATTCTAATGATCATGACCTCTAACCTTGAGGCTAAACTTTAGTAAGAATTTGACCAAGTTTCAAGTTGGTTTCAATATAAATTCCTTTCGACTGTAGAAGTATCAGATGAGTACAACAATTATTTTATTTCTGCTTTACAAAATATTTATATTTTACTGCTACAGTATTTTTTTATAACTGTATTCACTGCTTGTATGTTAATCCATTGGAAAAGTCAATTAATATATGCTTAACAATTATGCTTTAACTGTTTCTTTTGTTAACGTTCTTCAGACGCTTATTGTTAACTCATAAATTTGTTCGATAAAGATAGAGAGAAACTTATCAAGGTTAACAAATAGTTCTTTTTATATGTGTAAGACACAGACACCAAAGCGATTTTTCTATAAAATTCGAGGTAGGCTAGATTCGATTTTATTGTTCTTTTTCCAGGTATTTTAGATTTTAGATAGGGCAAAAAATCATTTGAATAACTAACACATATCTACAGAAGTGTTTCTTATGTTTTCACACGTAACAGGACAACATCTAGGGGATAGTGACAACATCGAAACACTGGACAAATATCTGTCCTTTCACAACTTGTTATTTCTACCTTAAATGATGTCATGAATTGTTTCTGCAGGGAATTTGAAAAGGGCGAACTGAACTGAAACAGGCGTGAGTTATGCAACATACATAAACACCTTTAAAATACAAAAAATAAAGACAACTTTATCTAGTGACAAATAAAAAAAATTAAATAATATCCTCTAGCTTTGGAATTTATCACCTGTTCATTACTGAAAAGTTTTTTGGTGAAAACGCCACACGGTTAAAATTGAACATTACTGATATAAGAATAAAATTTGGGCAGTGTGGCAAAGTATAATTCCAGTATGGATAAAATTTTATTTTGATAAAGTTATACAGTGCTATACAGTAATATTTACTGATGATGTTTCGAGCACTAATTATTGCTCCTAATCAGCATCAACGTACATACACATGACTGCACGTGACATTCACAGAATAGCGGAATATTTGTGTGACATCAGCGGAGTTGTCCAATTTCTCGAAACTCCTTCCTTACCTGTGATAATTTCCCGGCTTCAGTGAGTACTTTGTTATGATTTTGAGCAATAATTTGTGCTCAAAACATCATCAGTAAATAATACTGTATAACATTGTGTGATTTTATCAAAATAAAATTTTATCCATAATAAAAGTGAACATTTTTGAGATTAAGGAACATAAGGGATTTTCGCTACTAAGTAGCAGCTGAATCGACATCAGCTGTGGGAGCCCATTCTTGTAGTATCGAAAAAAGATTGATCAACAGAATAAACTTAAACACAAAAGAGTAAATTCACTTTCTGAAGTCGTCTAGACACTCCTTTATGAACCACAACATAACTAATCAATATTAGTTAATTCAAGAGTAGGAATAAGAGAAATACCTCTACACGAGTGAAACGTAAAGACTCGTGTAATATACCATCGTGTTAAATCCATTTCCCAAAACGCTGTTATTAGATCACTAAACCCTATATTCATTGATGCCATTAATATATTATCCCGTCTATGATGTAGAATTCGACATTACTTTTTGAGAAACAATAAGGAACGGCATCACATACTTTTCATATCTACCCCTTTTAAACAAAATCTAAAACAAAGAGTATACCTTTTACATGTATTTTTTAATTCAAAAAAATGTAGCAGAAATCAAAACATAAATAACTAATGAAGACTAATCCACCTTTTATGTTTCAGACTGTCTTTATACTTGTCTGAAAATGAAAATTATTGGAGCGATTTAATTCAGATTGTCGGTCGACAAACACCTATCATTTATCCAGTAGAGTGAAATAGCTGACTACTGCTGTTTGCTAGGAAATAAAACATAAATCGCTACCAGCAACGCTGAAAATGGCTTCAGGAAAATTTTGTATCCTCAAGAAATCCATATTATTAACGAGATAGAAACCTGGGTCATACATAGTTTATCATTAGTCTCCTCCAAAACAGAGACAGGCTAACCAGTCACTGTTTGATGAAAAAAGTGACGGTTAAGTTTTCACACTTAATCAGAAACACTTACTATACATATATATACGTTCAAAAGTTGTTTGACTTACTCAAGTAGATGGTTGAGATCCAATAGCTTTTCAGACTGAATATTATGGAAGACTAGGTGTGAACGACACATTAAAACCAGAGAATGTTCAGTAAATGTTTTGAATGAGTCTGACAGATAATTTAGCTGTAAAGTAAAACAGTATCAGTAAAGTTAAATTGTTTCTCATGTCATATCAATGGATTAAGCTTAATTAAAGCAGCTTAAGTATTGTTCACTACGAAACTTCTGATGAAAGTCGCTTTACCTCTGTAATATGTAAAATCATATGTCAGTTATCACCTCATAATAAAACAAAATCAATAACAGTGTTTATCGCATCTCAGAGAATTTTCCCCTCTATGAAGATTAGCACTCGCACTTACAAATCGGAAACTTTCAAATGTAATAACATTCCTACACGAAGTTATTTAATTTAATTAAGATTAAACACCAATTAGCGAGAAACGTTTGCCTAGACAATTTCGTAAGGTTCTACCGGAAGATGTGAAGTATTAAACGTTCAATTGTTAACATCTTTTAACTGGTAATTTACTGCATAAATTGTCCGTATTTAGAGTTGTTTTATTTTTTTGAGGATGTGATACACCTATGTTCTACATATATATGCAATGCACTTCCAAATAAATATATCAGGATAGTTACTTCACGTTATTTGTTCACTGGAATGTGTTACGCGCTAAGTCTGAATTACGAGAAGAAACGCAAACAGTCTGTGGAATACAAGTAGACCCAAGGCGAAACAAACGTGCTGAACTCCATCGTTAGTCTCTGTGAAACATATCTCTGCCCTCTTGGATGAAATCTAGAAAACAATTTATTCTTCACGGCAAAACAGTTAATGAAATACATTATAAATTATTTAAATTAATCCCAGCGTGTTTAAGAAAATCTTGTTTTGACTTTCTTAAACACGCTGGGATTAATTTAAATAATTTATAATGAATCAATCTGACTTTTTTTATTATAGCTTGAAACCACACAGTATTTTTGTTACAAGTATGGAATTTTCAGCAAGTGATATCGGTAGCCCAAATTTTGTAGGCTGACCATAGATATCAGGTGTGCGTTGGCAGGGGATTGAACCCCAAACCATGTGCATGGTCGGCGAGTGTCCTAACCGCTGTGCTACCGACTTTCTTGGCGCTCAAATTATTCCAGGAAGTTAATTAAATAGTTTATAAATAGTACTCTTTTATTGTGTGATGTATTTAATAAACAAATTGATATGCAGTTAACCACCACTACGGTGTCCACTTTTTACATGTTGCCATCTCAGTTGGCAGTTTCTTTTCTGATGCCATAAGCTCTCGCTACATATTCCTACCATCTGTTGTTTAAATGAGATTTAAATTATTAGTAACCTCGTTTTTGACAATCTTCTTAACTGCTTACATTTGTTTGATATTTCTTTTTGATTTAATAAAATATATTTCAGCATAATATATAAGGGGAAAAATAATAAACAGTTTCTCACCTCTTCTCTGGTTAGTGACTTGTCTGACCATAAAGATAATAAACGTTTGAACGTGTGTAAAAGTATAACTTGATTGATAGACGTGGAACAGTTTAAACGCGTTAGTGCAATCCACTGACTATTAATTAAAATAAACGTACACATTAGAGTTAGTGAGTCTGTTGCTAAACAGATATTTTAAATGGAATGAAGAAAGTGCTCATACATATCACTGGACTTGGTAGCTCTGAATATTTACTGCAAAACCCACATCTAAACTCCCCTGACGTTGTTTTCTATGTTTTAACTAACAGCATTAAACATTGATAAAATCAATTTAAGTATTACTCATTACGGCGTCGAGTTATTCACCTTCTGTTGGCGTCAAAGTGTTTTAAAATCTGTTTTTAACTTCACTGATCTAGGCGGAAGCACTTCATACTAGTCTTAAACACTTACGTTGCAAGTATTGGGAGAGTATAAATTGATTCACTAAAACTGTAATTTATGTCCAAACCAAGTTTACCTTTAACAATTTGAAAAATAAGGGAAATGGGCAGAAACGTTTTCGTATTTCCCAATAAATGAGAAACAAAACGATATTGGTTTTACTGGCGTTATGCGATTAAATGCTGATAATAGCTTTACCAAAATATCATTAAACTAGAATTTACAAAGCCTCAGCTTATATATAACAACTTAATCATCGTTCATCAGCATGGGGTGATTTTTGTGTTGTCCAGTTGTCCAGTTAATAAAGATAACAAAGAGTTAAAAGGTGAGAAAATAGACTTAGGTCAAGTTAAAAGGACATATAGAAGGGTAAAATAACAATGAAGATCACTAAACCAAATATGAGAGTTAATAGTACATCTGATGTCAGCTCATGATGAAATCCTCCATTCAATAGTAAATCTACCCTGGTATCAAAACAAAGTTTACAGAACCAGGTATAGACTGTTGAATTTGATAAGCGTAAAAATTTATAAGTGATCGGCAAATCATGTTCTGAACAAATCGCAACTCTACGCACCGTCATCTAACAAAGCATAGAATGGCAGTCAAACCTCATTCTATCTCAACTTCATCGACTTCGAAAAGGCCTTCCACAGCGTTGACTGGGAAGTAGTTTGGAAACTACTTCAACCCTACGGCGGGCAGTGCCCAAGTCTCTGTCTACCTCATTCAACAGCTGGCTCTATAATAATGCCAAGTGTCAGGTGGTCCACAACGGAAAGCTCATCGAGGCGTTCTAAGTGAATACAGGAGTAAAACAAGCTGGCTGCCTATTATCATCGATGGTATGTCTAATTGTGGTGGACTGAATTATACGTTAGAATGTCGGGAGCGAGGAGAATCAAATACGTTGGACCGATAAGATGACTTAAGAAAATCAGAACTTTGTGGATGGTTTATGTCTAATTTGACACAAATTCGAAGATTTTAAGGCGAGAGTCGCCAAACTGGCTGAAGAGGCTGTCTGGCAGCGATAACGCGACTCCTTCTAGGTGAACATAGAGAAGACGGAGGTGATGAAGATAACCAACTAACCAACAAACAACAACAAACAGCACCAATCACCATCAACGGGAGAATCCTGAAAGAGGTTACTTCCTTCACTTATCCGGTTAGGAAGCATTTTTTCAACTACAGCGGGATGAGTGAAGATGTCAAAACAGGCCAGAATCTCAAAGGCGAAATAAACCTTCATCAACATGAAGCCAATTCGGAAATCTTCTGCAGTCAGTCGTCATAAAGAAGAAGATTCATATTTTCAGCACAACTGTTAAGTCCGTCTGTTCTTCTATAAGGGTCACGTAAAGGATCTCCAATAACCTACAGACTTTTGCTAACAGCTGCCTTCGCTGGCTCAATACTGAAGATCAAATTGCCTGTCAGAAAGAATTAGCAACAAAAAACTCTTTTTGGCAACAAACCAACAGGCGAGAGCCGATTGCTAGAAAATATGAAGGAGAAAATGGAGATGGATCGGGCAAACATTGACGACACCGTCGAATGACATCGCGCACAAAGCAGACCATCGCTCGAGTGGAATCCAAATGGGAAACGACGAGTGAGTCAACCTATGGTAACATGGAGGAGATAGTGCGAAGAAGAGAAGAGAGATAATGGGCAATCGTGGACCCAGCTGAAGAGGAGAGCAGAAAATAGGAGAAAGTGGAGTTGTGTTGTTGAAGCCCTATGTTCCACTTGGAAGCCAAGGGAATAATAATGACAAAATTATAAAAGCAGAGTGTGTTTACGTGATGAAACTAATTATCGCATTCGTGTTGGTTTTGTCATTTCATGGGCGTAACCAAGTTGTAACCAAGTCAAATTCTGTTTAAGTCCATCATTTATATTTAGACAATTTAGATTTCATTTGATAATAAGTGCTTCTGATATTAGACGTACTTTGTGATTTCTGAAATTTTTCTGGATTATTTCAGTATTGTCGAAATCAATTTTGTGACAAAATTCTATAGCGTGTAGACATGTGGTTGATGATTTTTCAAGCTTTTCTAATTCAACTGGATTTCTCAGTGGTCGAACAAAACCTTTACAATAAAACTGTAATAGTAATTGCTTCTTGCCTACTATGAACTAACCTAAGACTGCACTTTGAATGAAAACATGTTAGTGAACTAAAACACTTCGGCATCTTGACTGGCTACTAGCCGATAAATTCTGATAAACACCAAAGTGACAGTAATGACTATTCAGACAGCCAAAATTAGACTGACTGATGAAAGGTAAATACTGTTTCAAATTACAAGTTACAAATAAAATGAACATGTAAGTTTTGGTTCGCATAATGAAAGACTGACTGCAGAATCCCTACATATATGGGCGCATCCAAAAACTTGAACACGCGTGTAGGTGTGATGTTAGCCTACGCACGGCAAGTCTTGATTAATAAATAAAAATGAATATGTATCACTAATCAGTCACACTTGATCTAAATTCCCGATTGTCTCTGTCTTCTTATGGGAAGGCTAACAAATGATTTACGACTGTTCCCTCGTGCAAACATACACACACCCCTGTATACCGCAGATACTAACATTTTTTTCATATTGAGTTAGCACAGACCATAAACTTTAGTCGAATGTAATCACTAAAAATATCCGATGCAAACGTACACACTATTTACTGTGTGTACGTTTGGAGACCAATAACTGTAAGTGTGTAGTCAAATTTTGTTCATAGTTCGTACAATTTTGTTTATGATATTTTGATATCCGTTCATGTCTCTAAATATGGCATTAAACATTAACACACATGAAGGAGTACATTCACGAAGTTGATTGGAAAAACAAAGATTCTAAAAATTATCCAGCGAGTCCCTTAAATCATGGTACTGCACTTAAATAGTGTTCAACAGGACTGTGAAAGCGACCCAGACTAAGAACTATTATGAAATAGTCATCTGACGAAAACGCATTCGGTTAAATCACTAATGCGGGAAAAGACTACTGACAAAGATCACATGCTGATGGTTAAAACATCAAAATACGGTGGATGTATTGTCTTCAGCCAAAATCGAATAACATCCAGGGGCGGCAAACACTCTACACAAATGTAAATGCAGCGAAGTATGTTGTTCCTGAAGCAGGCTTTGTTATAGTCACCTTTTTTTGGCCATGAGAGGTTTATGAAAAGTTCAAATATTGAACATTACCGCAGAACAGCCTGCCTCATCTCAAGATATTAATAATATTTGATAAAAATGCTGTGCATTAAGTTATATAGTTAAGCAACTGTACATGATGAACATGCATCCTAGGCATTCATTCAGGTGTGAAAGTTAAATTCACTTGGTTGCCACAATATTCCTGATCTGTTTTTTTACAGAAATGTGAATGTTCTGTAAGAAATTATTCCTTGCTACTGTCAATAACTTAAAGCTGAAACAACAATAGAAACGGCTGCTATGCAATATTTGTGTATTTACAACTATTTCTCCATAGCCCTATTCTAAGGAATTTTCTCAAAAACGTTCTTCATTTTGATAAAATTACTGACTGTAACCTCTATAACAGTTCACAGATAAATGTCATGTTACAGTATTGATGTGTAAACAGTTAGTTGACTTCAGAGTCCACAAACTAAGATGCTGGGGTAGGTTTTATCTATTTGGTGAAACAAGTTTAAGTCAACATTCTTTACATTCCCTAGTGCTATTTAAACAATCCCGAATAAATCGATTACTAGAGAAAATGTCTCCAGTGTTTGTTTTCTAGATTATAAGCATTCTCAAAAGTGTTAATTATTTACCCATCGAATGAATATTCACTTACCTCATTGAAACTTGAATTTCTGACAGTCCATTCTGAATAGCATGCTGGTGGAGAATTATTTCGCCTTCATCAGCTATATTACCATCCCATGAAATTCCAGTAGTCTAATTCAAAAAAAAAATTCACAAACATGAATGAAAACATTTTGAAGATCATAGGAAAGGTGTAATACAAGATACTCACTATGGACGCTCTCCGACCATGCACATGGTCCGGGGTTCGATCCCTGGCCGACGCACTCCTTTACCTCGCGAAGCCAGTAATAAAGCTGGTATAGAGGAAAGGTTGGGCATGAGGCTAGCAACCCCATCCTGTAAAATAAACACTGCTACAGAAACTTCAAGCCACTAGTTTGAAGCCCTATGTTCCACTGGGAAACGTGAAGGAAAAAAAATTTTACCCTATTAAATGTCTTCACATCACTGAATGATATATTGGTCTAGTTTCTTAGCGTATTTTCCTCTCTGAATGACTGACTGAGTTTCAACACAGAACTCTGCACAGACACGCAGCAGTTCATGTCACCACACTCCACATGGCACAAACAGGTAGGGAAGAGAGAAGAAACAGATTCGAACGAACTACAATCGACAGAAATGGATAGAGAAGTTGGAAAACATGAGCATTTAATAGATCTTGGAAACAACAAAGAGTGAATGCGTCTGGTTCACTGAAAACGGTTCTGAGCCATATTACCGCTTGTCCCGAGCCATTGGATTTTAGCATTCCATGAGCCCATACCAGACAGTCTACACTTCTTAATATCGCTCAAACCAACTGTCAAATGCTCATGCAATTTGGATTGATGTATGTTTATGCAATTACTGTATACTGTTATTTTTTAACGACTCCAAATAAGACACAAGATCTGGAAGCAAAAAATGTCATTCTTCATGCCAATACTTTTTCTTATCTCAGACAAACATGGTTACACTATACTACAGTGAACTCTTTAAGCATTATAATAAACAAATTAACTCTTTTTCTAGTTTGACCATGGATTAACATCAGTTAGAGAACCACTGAAAAACAAGGGAGTATTCAACAGCCTCTTCTTTCTAGTTTGAGACTCATCAGCAGTACGCACCCATTAGGGTTAGGACCCGGGACCTTCCAGTTACAAAGCAAGCTCGGAGACCATTCATCTACTGGGGTCCGACTCAGTGGCCAGCCGAAGAATTCTAAATTCTATCACTTCGCGATTTTAGTGTGACCTCTAGTCAGTGTTATCAGCGTACTACCGATGAGTGTCAAACTAGGACGAGATAGCTGTCCACTACTCCCTGGCTTTCAATGTTCCTATAGCTGATATGAGCCCGTAGTCAAGCTTGAGGCAAATCAAATTCCTACAAACTGGAAAGTTAACTTTTAATAAATTCACATCATAACTAACGGCGATTTTAATGAATAGTTATAAGGAATAAATGTGCCATCAAATTAGCAGGTTATTCAGTATTTAAAGGTATGCACTATCTGATTTGGTAAACCTTTTGTGCTGTTTGTGAATATTTATCTGAATACATATAAAGTAGAAGTGGAGTTATTTAATGACGTCGATATTGTAATATGATCTCAGATCCAGTAATTTTCTAAGGAAACAGTATTAAACTACATACATTAACGCACTTATTTATTATTGCCGCTGTGACTTCTACAAAGTGATGAAAGTTTAAAAGACAATAAGAAAGTTGATCCTTTTTCCATATCCAACATATTTTATGGGTATTCGTTCTTCAAGTGTGTTGCTGGGGCATATCAGCAATCTATTTTAACGAGGATTTATTCATAAATAAGAAATTTGTATATCATGCTAGGTATTTTATCTTCTTCAAGCTTTACTCTAATTTACATAGCTTTATATATAAAACATTTAACCAATGACAGTGGGTCAGTAATAATAATAGCAATAATAAGTGTTGAATGCTTTGAATGTTAGTAATAACGTTGACTATAATGATAATAAAGTTTATACAGAAAATTCAATAAATAAATTAGCTCAAATCTTGAAAGTTGCGTAATACTAAAGGTGAAGTGGACAGATAATCAGAGTTTAAATAGATATCATAAAAGTACGAAGAAAATGGAAAATAGGGAAGGGTGGGAGGGGTTTAATTAAACTTTACCTAGGCAAGCAAGGCAGAGACAAAGGGAGAACAAACTTCTTTTGTATGCAAAGACTAGTATAGCTCTCTTGAATTCCCATAGCTTCGGCTATGTGTAAAAGGCGAGTTCGAGTTCCGTTGAAAAGATTCAATGGAATGTGGTAGATAACCCTGAAGTCACTTCTTCTATACACTTGGTGACCGCTGTAAATCAAATGAGTCAAAATAGAACTTCTTATAGATTTTATTGGGCCTTTTGCGAGCCATGAAGGAAGATGCTCATTAAATACGTTTGCTGAGCTTTCTATTTGTTCGTCCTAAATAGCTCTCTTCACCGAGGCAATCAAATTTGTAGATACACACAAAATTGGCACAGCTAAGCAGCGTTTCTATCCACTGAGCAACCCATTCTCTCTTCTTCCCAACTGGACATCAAGAAAGTGTAATCTCAAATCAAGTTTTTCTTCATAAGTGAACATGTTTTGACTGTATTTATTTAGTGAATTGTCTGTATATACTCATGTTACTGCCTTTATTATTCTTATCACCACCTGCATAAACTTATAGAACTGTCGTTAACATTAACCTTGTTATCATTATTTTTGCTATCATTATAATCATCATTATTACTGACGTTCGAAACATTTAACACTTATTAAATATTATAATTACTATTATTATTATTTTTGACCCATCGTCATTGGTTAAATTTTTTATACATAAAAATATGGAAATTAAAGTGAGGCCTCAAGATGATGTAATTCAAAAAATTTGTTAGCTTACATATCTTGTTCTAATTTTAACAATGGGGACGTTTTAATATTTGAAAACATCTTATCAACAAAAATCTCTTCAATGAAGTAATAAAAGCATAAGATCAAAACTCACTTTTGGGACAACAGTGACTAATTAAGGTGAGAAATTAATTTACTATCAGAAAAAAGAGTGATTACTATATTTCTAGAGTTCAAAATTGTTTAGGATAATTCATCAGCACGTATAATTTTGGGAGTGTATCACTGAATTCAGTGAAATCCACTTAATATGGAGTGAACATTTACAGTAGTTGCGGATTAAGTGGTGACTAGCACTGGAATCTATGATGCGTGTTTCATTCCATTCACCACGCACTAGAAACCAGTTATTTCAGTTGAATACAAGCAAACCAAAAAGTGGGAAGGGTAAAGTTTTCACACTTTACTAAATGTAACTAGGAAATAGAATTTATGAATGTAAGAGATAAGCAACATGCTCTTCAAGTTGGACTAGTAACATGGTAACAAGTATTACTGTACATGCCTAATCAAATATTCAGCACAACCACTTACTCAACTGAGAAAAAATGTAATACTTATTTTCAAATGTAGTGTCATTCAAATATTCAAAGTTCAGAGTTTGCTCTAGTTAACAGCAAAAAAGAATCAGAATAGAGAAGTGAATGCTTAATGCATACATACCATAATTGACCTTTTCTTCACGACTTGCTCGCTTTGTTTCTGTTGGAACTTAAAACTTGGAACATAAGTCCTTTACTTCTTGGTAATATTAAAAAGACGCTTGCAGAGAAGGAAATTTTCCTTTCGACTAAGTCATCAACTAGGCTGTACATTTTAGTAAATGGATGAGAAAGTTCCGGAGTCATTTCCGGTCAAAGGTTAAACTGATAAAATTACGAAGTGTAATAATCAGGAAGATCGGGTAGAAAAGACATAATAAGATTATCATTACTGGAAAAGTCGTCAGTTTGTATGATTACAAATTAAGGACTTAGTATTAACAAATCAGGTATGAAGTTCAGACACATAAAAATAAAAAACAGCAAACAAATCTAGTCATGCAGATAGAAATTAAAAGTGCAAAAATAACAGGAAAAAACAGGAAGGTTGGACAAGAAAGATAATTAGATAATCATTATTGGTGGGACTGACTTTTCATGATGGCCACAGTATGGAAAACTGTTGGACGTATTTCTTTTGATCAAATAAAGTGAGCTTGGGATTTTAGGTTGCCAGTGACTCTGCTATTGCTAAATGTCTTGATTTCACTCCCTTTGGTAGGTTTGATGGGATCTTAAATACGAATATGATGGACTTTTCAAATGGAGCTTAATGTTTTGAAATTACCAGATGTTCTGTTACTGAACTGTATACACCTTTACGTTATTCCTATGCTTACCATGCCGGATAGTGTTCTCGAGCACGTTTTACAAACAGACGCATGGTACGGCCAATGTATTCGGCTCCACATGAGCAAGTGAACTGGTATATGCATGTTGAAGTGGCCCAATGTGACAGCTTGTCTTTCACGTGCTGGTTGAATAGTTCCGTGCAGGAAAATGTTACTCGTAGTCTGGCGGTGAATTATGTTTTACTGAGAGAGACTTCGGAAGCCGTCTACGGAGAAGTTCTGCTTCGTTATCACTTTTAACTTCGGGGTTCAGTATCTGCATCTTTTTGGGGGTGAGTTGAACCTTTTCAGGTATTTTCTTTGGTTTTAGATTCTTGTCTATGAATCTGAGTGGGAATCCATTTTCTGTTAGCGTCCCTGGGAAATTTCTCAATTCTTCTTCAGTTGACCTCTCAGTGCAAATCTTGCGGATCCTCGAGGACAGAGTTTATATCGGGTTTTCGTTTCTGCTTACAGGCACACAACTTTGAAAGTTGATAAACTGTCTGTTCCATGTGGGCTTTTTGTAGATGAATCTTCTTACCGAGTTGTCAGCATTCCTTCAACTGGGTATAAGTTTTTTAATTCTTCGTAGTAATTAATTCACACTTTTTTGTAACTTTTGTTCTAATTAATATGAAATGAAATGTCCTTCATATAACAAGCTCTTACACTGACCATTTGAACAATAATGACAAAAAGTTATGAGACTGTTGCTTTCTACTGAAAGTAAACACAGATTTATAATCATACTTTCTCTTTTCAAGGAAAGGAAGGAAGAGATATGGCTTTAATCCAAGTAGTGATAATAATAATAATAGCGGAAATATCAATGA